TGAAAAGAAAGAGAAAACAGAAGATGAAAGAATTATAAAGATCAGGAGAAAATGACCTTGAAGGACAAAGCAAACAATGGCTTTCATTGTCACGTTGTTCTTAATGTCCTCAACCAGTTTTACAGAGCATGTGGCTCCTGGAAAATAGAAGATTATGAAGCAACGGGTTCTGTAAAAACGTCAGAGCGTGATTTAATAGCTAACCCATAACTGAATGTAAATGTGAGTGGGTTTTTCTTGTTCAATATTACACAGGATTATGCAGATATATGTTATAGTTTTAAATTATATATAAATGAATAAATATTATATATTATATTAAAGTAATATATATTATAAATGTATATTTTAGCTCTGTATTTTACGCATACTACATTAAGTACACAAAAGTGAACAATAGACAAAAGAAAACATTGCATTTGGTCTTAAATCCCATAATCCACTCTACTTAATTTGACCTTACATTTAATGTTTAAGAATTTAACTAGAAATATCGACAGCCTGAATTTTCAACATCTTTTTTCTTGACTTATTGTTTAATTGGATTCACAAAAGCTAACACATTTTGCATTCAAAATACAAAATAACCACTTTGAAGATAACCACATACTCGTCTTATGAATTAATTGCATACTGCATACTGTTTTACATACTAAAAGTAGTATGAAGTATACAGTATACACTGCATAGTATGCAGTAAGCTAACAGTCCAGCCTATCTATTAGAATGACATGCAATCTGTTCTATCAGAGACCTTTCCATGAACTCTGGATTACTTTGAGCGTAGGATTATGCCAAATTTGTTTTTGGGAAAGCTCATGAGTTTCTTAGATATGTCTCTTCAGAGAAAGAGAGATTGTGGGATCGTTGATGAAAGTGTGTGATTACTCACCAGTTAAACTCGCTGTAGTCATTGTGGGCCTCCCACCAGAAGTAAAACCATACCAGTAACAAGGAGAAAGTGCAGAAGAGAATGAAGGACCACAAACACTCCCACTAGAACAAAGAAACACAACAAATAAAAATAGTTTAGTTAAAAGTTCAAATAAATCTGTTACATAATTTGTGTCTATCAACATCAGTATTATTAAATGTGTTGGTGCCAGCATGAATTAATACAGCCACTGTGAGAAACTGTGCCAAAAGATAATCTCAAGAACAAATATTTCAAAATACTGTTTAAAAATTGAGTGAAATTTAATATAGGGTTTTCATAGTGCCTCAGGTCATGACTGCATATCACAATAAACTCAGTTAATATGAATAGAGCGGCTTCAATAGTGAGATCTGCCTTCATCACAGATTCATTAGTGAAACATTAGTTCTGCTCTCTGCAGGGTAAAGGAAAGGGTCTTTCAGTTGCCTGCATTCAACTCTCACTTTCTCAACTAAGTCAACTAAGAGAAGCATAAAAAATGTACAGGAAATACAAAAACTACATTTACTTCAAATCTGCAATAATTAAAGGAAATGTTTACCCAAAAATGAAAATGTTCTATAATTTACTCACCCTCAGGCCATGCAAGATGTATATGAGTTTGTTTCTTCATCAGAACAGACTTTTAGAAATGTAGTAATACAAGTAATTCACAAGCCATTAACTGGTGGACTGGAGCGGTGTTAATTACTTGTGGATTATTGTGATGTTTTTATCAGCTGTTTGGACTCTCATTCTGACGGCACCCACTGACTGCAAAAGATCCATTGGTGAGCAAGTGATGTAATGGTAAATTTCTCCAAATCTGTTCTTGGATGTCATGAGGGTGAGTACATTTTCAGATCAAATAACCAAGCCCCTGAAAAACAAACAGAAGCTACTAATCTTTTGACTGGCTACACATTTCTCTTACTCGCTCTTATGAGAGCTCAGGATTATACAAGTATACTTTTCCCAAAGAGGTGGATGACAGAGGCATCTGTTTAGCAAAAAGCATCATCTGCCTAGTGTGTATCTTTGAAACAAAGGGAGATAAAACACATGAGACCATAGCGCACAGTATCAAGTTCAGTATTAGCTTTCTTCAACATCTAAACTCAGTGGCTGTGATCAGAATTGAACACTGGCTTATGTTTTCCGGAATACTGTGCAGTAAATTCTCTATACTGTTCACTATTTTATAAAAATGGTGAGTGCAAAAGTACATAGTATTCCTCTATATGCTTCAAATAGTAGTATGCTATGTTTGTCACATGACATCTTCACATACACGTTTGATTTAGCATAAAACAAGATAAAAGTGAAATGAGAAATAAGATAAAAATTGAGTAGCATGCAATAAAGGATAACTTTTTAATGTGATTCTGTAAAAATAACAAATGTTACAATATTACGTTAAAAAAATAAACTTTTCCAATTAATTTCCAATTTGATAAACAGAAATGGCTGAATATAAGATACTTAAGATATTCTATATATTATATATATAACTAAGTCAACTAAGAGAAGCATAAAAAATGTACAGGAAATACAAAAACTACATTTACTTCAAATCTGCAATAATTAAAGGAAATGTTTACCCAAAAATGAAAATGTTCTATAATTTACTCACCCTCAGGCCATGCAAGATGTATATGAGTTTGTTTCTTCATCAGAACAGACTTTTAGAAATGTAGTAATACAAGTAATTCACAAGCCATTAACTGGTGGACTGGAGCGGTGTTAATTACTTGTGGATTATTGTGATGTTTTTATCAGCTGTTTGGACTCTCATTCTGACGGCACCCACTGACTGCAAAAGATCCATTGGTGAGCAAGTGATGTAATGGTAAATTTCTCCAAATCTGTTCTTGGATGTCATGAGGGTGAGTACATTTTCAGCAAATTTGATAAGATAATTTTGTAGGCTACCGTGTAACCCTAGTACATAGTCACAATGCTATTTGTTTTCTAGTTCAAATCTTCCAGTGAATAAAACTGGCTCTCTATTAGCATTTCTCACACACAGACAGTAAAGCAGTCAAGAATATTTTCTTTGAGATTGAGTTTCTTTTTCAGCATTTCACTGGCACTTCCCACACATTGTTTGCACAAATACACCCCTGGCACAATAACCAATGTACCATGAATAATGGCCGCACTTAAAATACCACCATTTATTTGGCTCAATGATGACCAACTTTTTTCTTTTTTTAATAGTGCACTGTATATGACACAAAATGAAATTGGGTTTGTGGATGAATGAAGTGGCTAGTGTGCAATTCCATAAACCATGAAAAACAAATAAAACATTTATTTCTGAATAAATTAATGTTGGAATAGACTAATGTTACTATAATTTTCAAATCATAGTCATTTTCGTATTGGTTTTCCTCTTTAATCTATCCTAGGGATTTAGTGTCAGTCCCGTATATGGCCAACAACTTTAATTCCTGCACATGATTTGCATAAGGTTTTTTTGTTTTGGAAAATGGACTAAAAGTAGACATAAGATTAAGTATAAGCCACCCACAATAATAAAAACCAAGACCAGTGTGGTTAAATCAAATCAAATCAAATTCTGTTAAGAAAGATTACTCCTGGTAACATGAAGAAATTCACGGTTCTCACTGCACAATAAAGAACATGCAGGTCAACAGCTCTTATTTAAAAAAAAAAAATTTGTTAATTAAATTAAATTAAATTAAAATGTGGAGACAAATTGACAATCTTCTTTCTCATCACTACACAAAGAATGAAAACAGCAGGTAAAAAAAAAATAACAGTTTTGTTCAGAAATTAATGATCCGCTTGGCTCATAAAAAGCAGTTAGAAAGCATGTATTAATTCCTAAGCCCAATCATCCAAAAATGCCTAAATATAGATGCATAAAGAGGATTATGGGTAATTCTGAGTAGAAAAATAATTCACACAAATAAATGCTGCTAAATCTGAGATCTCCCACCAGCATCACAGACTGTCTGAATGCGCCAAATCAATATCACACCATAAAACGGGTCAAATGTCAAATGCAGTATTGTTTTTCCAAATGATGTTTCCAACGACTTTAAAAATGGCACCAGACTGAGAACAACAGAAATGTTCAGCACTGACATCACCTGCCAAAAGTCATTAACACAAGAGTAGAGTGGTGGTGGTTGCAGGGCGTTACTATGCCGTTATTAAGAAACTCTAATCGGCTTTTAGCATGTTGCTAAGCAGTTGCTAGGTAGATGCTAACAAAAGAACCCCCAGATTATGATGGCTCAGGTCCCTTGTTCAATGCAAGTCTATCGGATTTTTTTTTTCAGGGATGTTCAATATTTCAATTGTTCATGGCATGACTTATCCTTCATAACCTTGAACACACAACCTTAACGAGACGACATGAATTGATATACACGGCTGTGTTTTTGGCACTCGTGGTTGTAGCAGCTGAACAGATTGCCATGACATCATCAGGGCCAATGATCAACAAGCAGCATACATCTTAACAGGAGGGATTCAGAGCAGCGCTGGGCAGCAAATTGTGTCTCCTCTAAACAAGAAAATTATCTCATCATTAAGCCTCAAAAAGCTTATTTTCAAAAGCCTTGTTTCATTCCCTCCCGCTGATCTGAGATGACAGCACGACTCCACCACTTAGTACCAAAGTAAACACACTTTTTCCACTATTTCCTGAGGGGAGAGTTGAATTTGTATTGTGTGTCTATGACAGCGTTTCAACTGTCTGAACCTTGAACGTCTCGTTGTAACAATCACAGAGTTATGTCAGATACAGAAACACTTCTATGAAAAAAAAAACAAAGTAACAATTCCCTTTAAAACGATCCCGGCAAAGCTTTGCATGGCACATTTGTTTTAACGCTGTAAAGACTCTTGCTAATTGGTTAAGGTGGGGTGAAATGGCATGGTTACAGTGGCTGCCTTTAATTATCTTCATTAAGTTAAACAGGCTTATCCGATACTGAAATATGGGCATGATAACAATATCTCAGACTAAGATTTGCCAAGCACTGGCTGCAATTATGAAAATTAGCCAACAGCTTTTTTAGCGTTTCCTGAGCAAACAACCAAGCCAAGCTGAACCAACAAGACCGATAGACAGCAAAAAGCAGCTTTTCTTAGGAGTGCCTTGACTTTGACGCACCGGAATCATATAATTTATTCATACTGTAAGTATTTGCCGCACACATCTGCTCCCTTGAGGCACCAACTGTAGTTCAAAATCCCACTGACTGCTAAATATCTATTCCACAGAGGCAAAGGGCAAAGAACACGGGAAGGCCGGCTTCCCGATGTGAGAGAGTGAAGGAGAGGCAGTGGGTGGAAGTGAGCGGATTGAAAAATGGAAGTGGAAAAGGTAGGGGAGTAGCTGAACAACGTCCTTTCATAACAACAGTCCCTCAGCGGTAAATCCCATCAATAAGCAAGGTGCAAAATCAGGTTCCTTTGTACAAAGTGGACTGACCTGGTCTGGAACAGATGTCATGCAATCCATTAACAGAACTTTTCAAAGAAAAGATGTTTTATTCATAGAGTGATTATTATACTGGTGTACTTTCGATAGGCCTATGTGACTACACAACTGAAAATAAAATGTCACTGGAGGTAAAATTCAGGTCATGCGGAATTAAAATGTGGCTGTATAACAAGGACTATGCAAAAACGACCTTTACTAACCCACATGGATTCAATTTAACACTACTAGTGCTTAGAGCTTAATGGGTTAGTTAGATAATTTCTACTGAGTTTGTCTGTGAAGTACAGTACAGTAAATTCTCACTATAGTGTTGGTATTTACATAATGGTATTTTTGGTCCTGAAAGTAGTTCACTACAGCTCGACAATGTCTGCCTGAGGGTTACAGCCAGATATGCTGGGTGTCTAAATGAAAACGCTGTGAACAGGACTAATTTCCACTTGAAATTACACGTTTATTTCTATTCAAAGTGTTCCATTGATGTTAAAGGGTTAGTTCACCCAAAAATTAAAATTAGCCCACAAATTACTCACCCTCAAGTCATCCTAGGTGTATATGACTTTCTTCTTTCAGATGAATCCAGTCGAGTTATATTAAAAATTGTCTTTGATCTTTCAAGCTGTTTAATGCCACTCAGCGGGTGTTGCATGCATCAGTCCAAAAGAAGTTAAATAAAAATCGCCCATCCATAAAAAAAAGTGTCTCACACGGCTCCAGGGGTGTGAACAAAGTTTTCCTGTAGCGACTATGCGTTTTTCTAAGAAAAATATCCATATTCAAAATTTAATAATCTCTTTAATGTAGCTTTGGAAGCAGCTCCGGGCGGATGACGTATGAGTTCAGCGTTGCGCATGCGCCGGTGAGTCTCGTGAAAACCAACGTTTGTTAACAGGAGTAAAGGAAGCAAAGTTTCCTTACTTTAGCAAAGGAAAACCAGTCTCCTCTTGCACAATGCTGAACTCATACGTCATCCGCCCGGAGCTGCCTCCGTGTCGGACTGTTGGCGCAAGCTACTTTAAAGTGATTATTACGTTTTGAATATGGATATTTTTCTTACAAAAACACATCGATTCGCTACAGGAGGCCTTTGTTCACCCCCCAGAGCCATGTGAGACACTTTTTTTATTGATGGGAGCTTTTATTTAACTTCTTTTGGACTGATGCATGCAACACCCGCTGAGTGGCATTAAACAGCTTGAAAGATCAAAGACAATTTTTAATATAACTCGACTGGATTCATCTGAAAGAAAAAAAGTCATATACACCTAGGATGACTTGAGGGTGAGTAATTTGTGGGCTCATTTTCATTTTTGGGTGAACTAACCCTTTAATTGTTATGTAAAATCAATGTGGGTCAATAATGTGTCGGCCGCCACAAAATACTGCCTTTGCAAATATGCAAAAATCACAAAATGGAATATGTATTTTAAACATGGATGACAAAGAACTAAATGTCAGATGCACATAAATCTCTATTCAAAAGCACTGAATAACAAAGATCTGACAATTAAAATTATGTCATCATTTACTCACCTGTCATTCCAAACCTGGATTATTTTTTCTTCTGAAGAACATAAAATTTAATGAAAATGTCATTTGGAAAAATGTCTCAGTGTCCATACAGTGAAAGTCAATGAGGTCTAAAACAACAGAATTTATCATTTTGAATGAACTATACCGTTAACATCGTTCTGTTTTTCTCCAATGTAAGCATAACCTAATAATCTGCATGCTGACAGACAGGGAAAGATTAAATCTGACAAGAACAAGCATTGCAGGTCACCTTGTAGGAAATGCTGGCACTAGAAAACATACCCATAGATAAGTTAATCAAAGCCATTTAAGAATGCTGTAAACATGAGCCCTGAATGACTGCAACAGCACTGGAGTGGAGAATCTTAAAGCAAAGTCCTCCTAATGTGAATCCAAGTAAATGAAGAACATTGCAGTGAACAGATTACTATGTGCAATATAGCGTCTAGAGAACAGAATGTAATCACAGACATAATCTGTATTACTGAGGGATGGCAAGTGTTTAAGAGCCCCAGTCTGTTGCTGATGCTGTCTAAAGATGCATGTACATGTCTGTGAGTTTCTTCCAATCGACTGGAAATGACAGTCTTCAGCCTGAGGGAAAACACTGATTGGATGGGTGGCCTCTGGCTGAGTCTGTGGTGGTTTTGTACATGCTGTCAGCGGGTACACGGGTAGAGTCACTGTCTGTCATTGTCTGTGACACTCTGCCCTCAGTACCGACTGGAAAAGGAGAACGTTTTAACATACAACAGTGTTTTCACCAGACCACAAGGTATTTGAACTTTGTTTACCAGTGAGGTGTTAAAAGGGATATTTCATCTAAAAATTATCGTTCCAAACCCGTTTGACATTCTTACATCTATGGAACACAAAAGATGATATTTTGAAGCATGTTCGTAACCAAGCAATTTTGGTGACCATTGACTTCTACTAAGAACACGGAGACATTTCTCAAAATATCTTCTTTTATGTTCCACAGAAGAAAGTAATTCAAGTTGAAACAACATGAGAGTGAGAGTGAGTTATGAGGATGCACCAAAATCTTGAATGCCATAGTCAGAAAACATGAACAGAAACTAAATTCAACTGACTAGATAACAACAAAGAAAAAGCAGCGTGATTGTGAAATTATCCAGGTTTAATCACATTTAACGTAATCAATGGTTGGTTAATGCTATCACTGGCATATGTAGAACTACACTTTTACTTCAGCGCCTGTATATTTAAACAATATTTTAAATATTTTCTGGTCCAACAATGTAAAGTCACATCAAGGAAACTAGTCTACATCACTTATTTAATAATACTACATTAATATAATTCTTTTTTTTTTAGGGCTTTTATTTCAGGGCATCAAGGTATTTTTTCCTTCCAATATTTTACCATTTTTCAAAAGTAAAACTTAAAAAGGGTTTTAAACACTCAAACACTTGCTATGCTCACATTGCAGTAGGAGATGACTATCAGTCCTGTTTGGAGGCTTACTATGGTTATGCTTATAGACAAAATTATAATGAAAGAGATTGACAGCCACATTCTATAAACAGTGACTCACAATCAGATTTTAAGAGTGATTTCAGTTGATGTGTGCTGTATGAATGGAAGCAAAGTCAACAACTAGCTGTACGCTCAGTCATTGACGCATGTGTACCACACATTGTGATTTACTCCTTACAGTCAATCACGAACATTAGAGCTGTCAACCTCTCTCAGATAAAAAAAAAATTTGAGAAAACTGTGGAGAGTGTTTGGGTAGATCCTCCTGAGAGCTTTCGGCAGCATCTTTAGAAATGAATACTTTTATTTAGCAAGAGTGAAGAGAAGAAAAAAAAAAGTATCATAAAAATATTAAGCAGCACATCCATTTTCGAATGTGATAAAAAGTTGTTTCAAATTATCTTTGACAATACTCCTGTTTTTACTGCATTTTTGTATCAAATAAATGCAGCCTTGATAAGCATCAGAGACCGCTTTCAAAAACCTTTTAAAAATCTTACCGACCCCAAACGTTTGGACGGCACTGTATATAATGGATCACAGTTATTCCACTGCATGCTGGTTCCTGCTAGTATTGTTTTTTGAGCTATATTGGCTTGCACAGACCACACAGGGGCTTGTGGGAGAAAATGACACTCCTATTCACGTGCCCTTTGTGTTGGGATACGTAAATGGAAAAACTCTCAATTATTACTGAGGAGGGATCTCTTTTCAGTGGAGCACAATTTACAGCTTAAACAGGAGACGAACACACATTTCTCTCTCTCTCTCTCACACACACACACACACACACACACACAAACACTCTTAACAGACACAAAGACAGGCTTCGTATAGAATAATTCAACAGAACTAGTCATATTAGACCACTGTACACCATGCTCTACTGGGGTTAATGCACAAAGGCTTTGTATTGAGTTTGAAATGCCAGACAGAATCTCTCCGCTCCAATGATTCCACAGATTGAGTCTGGAATCATGAAATATGGATGCGCTTTGCATCATCCCTGGTCTCTCATCTCATAGTTTAGTGTGTCATATGAGGGCGAGACCTGGACAATGAAACTATCAACTGTGGCAGGATGGGACAGAGGTCAGATTTTTATGTATGAGTAAAGACAGCATATCCTGTTTCATTTAAAAGTGACAGGAAACTACATTAGCTGTATTCATTGAGAATTGACACCACAGTGCATTCTGGTCCGGTTATCTCTCTCTCTCTCTTGCAGACAGCTGAACTGGCTGTTTCTGTGGACAGGGTCAGGCCTCCCGCTGCGGACAGTCAAGACTGAGTCGAAATCGCTGACAGCACAGTACAAGCAGCTGAGAGCCAGAGAACAACAGGAAACCAGGGCAATGGCTTAGTCTTCTTTTGTGGAATTAAAATGGAAATGTACATCTTATCTGTTATGGTTCATTTTATTATAGTAGGCATTGATCCAACTGCACTCTGATAGTAGATGTGATGCATCTCTCCATCTAGTTGACTCCCACTATGTTCTGAATCCGAAAAAGGTTAAAAAGCAAGCTCATACACCTACCCTGAGCACGGTACCATGGAAGGCCAATGGTTTCGAATAGAAATACTACAGAACTTTGATATAAAACAGAAAGGGATGATTATCGCATGCAATTATCATGGTATTCACTATAAGGCACTCGAATACCATGGAATAACATAGTACATGTCAAAAAATTAATAAAGAAATGAATACATAAAAATCACAGTATTATCATATTACCATGTCCAAACTATATATTTATTTTAAATTATTAATTATATTACAAATTAATTATATAAAATTATTAAGTGTGTGTATACAGTATGTACACACATTTCTTTACAAATATATATTTTATATACATAATTCATATATATTTTTTGTATTATACTGTATATAATATACATTTTATATATATCAAAAACACTTTAAAATTATATTAATTGCAATTTTAAAAAATGCATGCAATTTAAATTTTTTTTTTATTTTTTTTTTAGTAAAAGTAAAATATAGTTCATGTTATAGTTCATGGATTCTTTCACCCATTTTATTGTCTGCCTAGCAAAAAAAAAAAAAAAAAACTCCGATCCACTGGAATAGTTCCTGCATGATTTGATGTCTGTATTATGAGTAAGCACCAATAACAAAGGATATACTTTTTTGTAAATAATTATCAAACTTCCAACAGATTCTTTAGAAATTGATGTAGTTTCCCTGGTGTTGTGTGACGGTCCTCCTTTATCGACATGCATCTGTACTGATAAGCCTCCAACTTTATCTTGGTTTCTCTGACAACCATCTCTCCAGCTCTTCTCAGCAACATGAACACGGTCAAAATCTGTGTCACTGATTTTCAACACAAAGTCTTCTCCTTTCACTTGCGTCTCATCTTACAGCCTGATTCTCTGACAAGCAATTGTGTCCCAACTCTCTTCTCCCACAGGGACCTTACACATCTGAAAACAGTAATGCTCAAAGGCAAAACTCTCTCTAAAGGAAAGCAAACATTAACAAATGCACCTTCAGGGATATTTGATTAGCCTAATTTAAAAAATCACTGAATTAAAAAACAGGACTATAGGTTTTCCATTAACACTTGTGTGTTTATGAGCCACTGCAACTATTTGGAGAGACCATGGAAAAGAAAAATAAAAAAACTAGAGGATGTTTATTAGCGTTACACTTACAGTGGCAAATGAAAGGGTATGTACAACATGAAAGAGCACACATTCCCATGACACACACAAATCCACAGCTGCTGTTCTAGCTACATATTCCACTACCGTAAAAAGATATACAGACATGCAATGCTTTGATTAAAGTCCTTTACTAAAGCAGAACATCCTCCTCATGGACTCTTGGCCTCGCTCACTGCATTAGGCAATGAGGATAATACCATTTGTTGGCAGTCTGGAGACGGCTCTTTCAACACGCATAAATAACGTCACAATTCCCCTGATGCTCAGCGCATGTCCCTTAATTAAATGCAGGGAAGCAGTATCCTAGACAAAAAGTACTTTCATGTTTAAAAGACTGATCGTTACTTACTTATACTTGACTCTATTGAAGCAGATGTGAGCAAACCCCAATCAAAAGACCCTTAAACAAAAGGACTCAATTTCTAGAACATCATTAAATATAGTAAAATCAGTAATTAAATGCTTCCATCTCACTTTTGTGTTTTATTACTGAATAAGGTCTGGTAATTTGATATGTTTACAGTGCAAATGTTGATTCAAAATACACTAAGAACATTTTTAAATGGCTGGCCATGTGATCAGATCTTCAGCTGACCTCTTAATGACCTGGAGTTTCTGAATAAGCTTGTGTTCTCATATTGACACTACATCATCTATGTCTATGCACAAAACAAAGACAATGATAGACGTGTCACATTGATCTAAGTGACAAATAAAGAACACAAGGAAACACAGAGTTCGCGATCAGCTAATGAATTTCTGAGCCCATACTGAACCGTGACCCTTGACTAATCGAGACTTTGATCTTCTCGGAAAAGTTTTCTTGGAAACTATGACTCAACATGTGACCTGATTAAATTCCAATCCTTGTTAACCTACACTTTTAAAAATAATGGTTCCGAAAAGGGGTTTTAGTAGCAATGCAATAGAAGAACCATTCTGGTTTTCCTAAAGAACCTTTTTGTGTACAGTTCTTAAAGAACTTTTTTTTTCTTAATGTAAATAACATTTTAATAATTTAAAGAACCTTCCATTATAAAGAACCTTTTGAGCCGTGGAAATGGTCCACGAATGTTAAAGGTTCTTCGTGGAATGCCAATAAAGAACCTTTATTTTTAAGAGTGTATTATGTTTTCAAAACAATCTGCATATGTATAGGTTGTTACTTAAACCTTATGAACCTAAATGGTTTTCTAAAGGACTCCACACAACAACAAACATGCTGGATCAGTATAGTCTGATTCGCAAAGGAATCACTTATGTGATTCAGACTAGTGCTGGGCGGTATGACCAAAAATTTATATCACGGTATTTTCCAAAATTATACCGGTTTCACGGTACATGGCGGTATTTTTTTTTTTCCATGCATGACCGGTGTTAATCATATTTTCTACTGATTGAGAGAGGAAATACTGCAGTATATTGACTTAGAATGCCCTATTTTACTGTCACGATGAGTGAATATTGTCAAAAAATACCACACTAAATAGAGGTTTGTCAGTATGAATATTCTATGGAAAAAAGCCGCTAAAAGGGTAAATCTAGTGCTAAATCTAGTGCTAAAGTCGCGCTCGTGTGTGTGAGACGCGGGAGCTGATGGCAGGGGGCGGTGGATATTGAATGAATGAATATATGAGTTAAATGAGTTAAACATAGGTCTTCAACCCTGCTCCTGGGGACCCACTTTCCTGCAGAGTTCAGCTCCAACCCTAATCAAACACACCTGAACCAGCTAATCAGGTCTTCAGGGTCAAAAAATACCACACTAAATATTGACTAAACACGACCCCTTTTAATGTTAACCTGGAGTCACTCTCATTTATAATTGCGGCATCGTCTGATAAAATCAACATGCGGACAGTGGGTCCCCAGGAGCAGGGTTGAAGACCTATGAGTACTCTTTATTGAGACATTTTATTGACTCTATATATCAGGTTTTGAATCAGTCGGATCATTATGAAATGACTCAGAATCCAAAAAAGCCAACGTTTGCTTGTTTGAAACATTGCATTTTGTTGGGGCAGTGTGAACCTGCCTTAAATACTGTTCATGGAAATCTGTCTCGAAACACTTCACTGAATCAAAACTGTTCGCATAAACACTCAAGTCAAATAACATACGTGTGAATGTGAATGTGAATAAAATGTGACATCTAAAACATTAGCTGTGGGATTTGAGCTCTAATATAGTCTTCACATCACAGCCAGATGGTTTGGCGACGGGATAACTCACCTTGGTGGTGTCATCATGTGACCGCTGGTAGCGTTTCCAGCGGCATCCGTAGATCCCGGTTAGACATGATAAACACAACTGTCTCTCATAGACCTGTAATGGTTGGTGCTTCACCATGCTCCTTCAATCCAGACTCCAAACCGCCTCACTATCATCCCACTGATCACCAAAGACCCTGTAGAAAGACACACACAGAGCACTGCATAAAACAAACAGCAGATTAGCATTTGCACCATGTGACACTTCAAATGGCTGACACATCCATAAATCTTATGAGGGGTGCAGTGGAGAAACAAGAGTCAATTTCCAACATTGTCACTGCTCAATGCCATTCAAGATCCTCTAAATATAGCAGATCCATAATTTCTAAAACTGACCATTCAATTTCACATTTTATGCTCTATAACTGTGGTTATCAATGTTGAATCTACTGTTCAAAGGTTTGGGACCAGTAAGATGTTTATTTAAAGAAATGTATAATTTTATTCAGCAAGAATGCATTAAAATGATTAAAAAAGAGGTTTATACTGTTACAAATGTTTCTATTCCAAATAGATGTTCTTTTTAACTTTCTATTCATCAAAGAACACTGAAAAAAACATTTATCATGGTTTCCACAAAAGTAGTAAGCGGCATAACCTTTTTCATCACTGATAATAATAAATGTTTCTTGAGCAGCAAATATTAAAATGATTTCTGAAGGATCGTGTGATACTGAAAACTAGAATAATGGCTGAAAATTCTGCTTTTCCATCAAAGGAATATTACGTTTTAAAAACATTAAAATTGAAAACAAAAAATGCAGCCTAAGGGTGGGCATAAGAGACTTCTTTCTGTCTGTGGATCCCATCAACACCTGAAAACTGGCAGCGTAACAGTTGTGGACCCTCAACCATTCTCGCGTTCATGTGTGCCAGTCACCAGATCGGCGCTGTGCCTGTAGTAATCATCGCTGAATTGCCCAAGAGAATCAATTCACCTTCTTGCAGCCTCAGCTCGGAGATTTTCCTCTGCTTATCAGTCTCTGTGAGCGAGGGACTAAGCCTCTGGAACCCTTATCAGGGAAGCCAGGGCGGGCCTGGCATCAGCCACAACACTAATGAGACAGGTTTTCATTTGCACAAATCCAAGCACTGTGAAAAAAAGCTGACAGAGAAGTGCTTTCAATGTTGTCCGTTGTTGGATTTCTGCTACAAATCTGCTTAAAAAGTTTTATGTTTAAGAAATTATGTTTATACGAGCATTTAAAAAGTTTGGGGTCAGTATTTAATTATTTTAAAAGAAACAAATTAATACTTTTATTCAGCAAGGCTGCGTTAAACTGATCAGGAGTAGGGTTGCAAAGGGGTGAAAAATGTCCGGTAAATTTCCGGAAACTTTCCCAAAATCCCTGGAATATTCCCAAAATCCTGGAAA